TTTTAGGTACGGCTGAATTCTGCGCGAGGCTATTTCTCTGGACGGCAGAGTCTGATGTGTACTGTACAGAGTCTGAGAGGCGAGCTCAGTTGGCGCGAGGCGATCGAGCCAATGAGCGGAACTGGGCTTCGCGCGCTGGTTGGCTGGGCCGCCTCGCGTCAGCCGTACTCGATTCGTATTGGTCACTGTTTTTCGTTAATAACTCGTTAACGGTGCCTCGGAGAACATTTTTGTAAAGGAAAAAGTTGCTTCAAATAATCCGAGGAACCCGCCATTTCCGGATTGCGAGACATTTTTGGGACACCCTGTAAACTGTTGTAAATCGATGTGAAGACAAAAGAAGTGTGAAACAATGCATACGAAGACGATTATTTGGTTCAAACGATGAGCGAGTGAGCTACTAGAGCAAGCCACTGTAGTGGCGCGTCGTCCAGAGAGATGACGTCCGCGAAAGCCACTATAGTGGCGTGTCGTTCTGAAAGATGTCATCGGAGAAAGCCACTATAGTGGCGCGTCGTGCCTAAAAGGTTAATAACCAGTATGCGTGTACTTTCGATCCCGGACAAATTTCGTGAACAACTCCTTCCTCGTCGGATATTTTGAATCCATGAAAAGTTTCACGTGCTCCCAAATGTTCGCTCGATTATGTTCGTTCAAGAAGTAACGTGGTACCAAGAAGCATCGCATGTTCCTCGTGCACACAATCCTCCGATTATGCATGTTTTCGCCTAAATTTGATCAACGGATGAAATTTATCATTCAAGATACAACTAAAGTTGTCGTGTTAGGATATGCTGGATTCGTAATGTCGATGAAGTTAAAGAGGAGGATAGGTTGTTGACGAATATTTCACACGTATCTTTCAGCAGTTGAGAATGTAGCAATTCTCACTTTGAAATCGTTCCTTGAATATTCATTGTACACTGTAATATTGATTGCATGTAAATTAGACCATACTCCCATGGTCAATGTACAGATAAATATTATACGATTTAATCAAATTTCCGGATTGATTACGATGAAAATAATTTCACGATATACAGGGTATTTCACTTAACTTGACCATCTTAAATATTAGGGGGACCGGAAAGTAATGTCGTTTCTGCGCATATTTATCTGTTTGAATTTAATGTAAACAAACGACATAACTTTCCGGCCCCCTAATATATCATTTACTTTGTATGATAGAAAAAATGTTATGAGGAGAAAAATATTCTGTTCAAAGGCGCCAATACAGTGATAGGCCGAATTTTTCTCAAGGTCATTTTTTTCAAGATTTGAAGGTTATCGTATTTCTTAAAAATGGGACTACATATTTTCACTACAACAGCCTTATAGCATATAAAACAAACCAAATCTACCGAGGTGCAACATGTTGACCTTCACGACACCTTTAGCGAGAAAGTCATGAAATGTTCGTCAGTAATTTCAATACGTGTTCAGGGACAGTAAATGAAGGAATTTTAATTTCGTTAGAACAGTCTTAAGTCGAATCTTTATTTTAGAAGGTGTTCAAAATGTGCACCACGAACCTGGATACATTTTCGGTGGCGGTAAATAAATTCTTGCTGTACATTTTAAAGTTGTTCTGCAGTAATTGATCTATATTCACGTAGAACCCTTTTTCTGCTGTAGTGTACATAATGGATAAGCTTATTACGCTGATACCGATGCTGTAGCTTGTTATACTGATACTGATTCCAAAGTAATAATCGCCTGCTAAAATTATCGCTTTGATAATAATGCTTGTAAACATACTTTAGCTGATGAAGGGAGAATGCGAATGTCTGTTTACAAGCACTAGGGACAATTACACGATGCACTGTTCCAATGAAATTGAAATTCCTTCGTTTACTGTCCCTGAACGCGTACTGAAATTACTGACAAATATTTCATGATTTTCTCGCTAAAGGTCGCGCGAAGGTTAACATGTTACACCTCGTTGGATGTTTTTGTATATGCTATAAGACTGCGTAGTGAAAATATGTGGTCTCATTTTAAAAAAATACGATGACCTTAAAATCTCGAGAAAAAATGATCTTGAGAAAAAAATTCGGCCCATCGCCGTATTGGTGTCTTAGAACAGAATATTTTTCTCCTCATGACATCTTTTCTATCGTAGAAAATAAGCGATATATTTAAGGTGGTGGGCTAACGTCCCGTATTTGTGACGAAAACCGTTCCGTATTTCGCGTCCACAATTGTTATTCAGGTTCATAAAATTTTGCGTAATATTCGTGAAATGAGTTCACTTTGATTACACTGGCATTTAGAAAAACTGCATACGTTTCGATATTGACACCAGGTCTACAGAGCATTGAAAGCAGCTATTTTAGGTTGTTTCATTAACCCTTTCGCTACTACGGGCCACTATAGTGGCCCTCCATAAGATGCCACTGAGGTACTACGGGCCACTATAGTGGCCCTCCACAAGATGCCACTGAAGTACTACGGGCCACTATAGTGGCCCTCCCTAAGATGTTACTGAGGTACTACGGGCCACTATAGTGGCCCTCCATAAGGTGTCACTACGGTACCACGGGTCACTATAGTGGTCCTCCGTAAGATGCCACTGAGGTACTACGGGCCACTATAGTGGCCCTCCATAAGATGCCACTGAGGTACTACGGGCCACTATAGTGGCCCTCCATAAGATGCCACTGAGGTACTACGGGCCACTATAGTGGCCCTCCATAAGATGCCACTGAGGTACTACGGGCCACTATAGTGGCCCTCCATAAGATGCCACTGAGGTACTACGGGCCACTATAGTGGCCCTCCATAAGATGCCACTGAGGTACTACGGGCCACTATAGTGGCCCTCCATAAGATGCCACTGAGGTACTACGGGCCACTATAGTGGCCTTCCATAAGATGCCACTGAGGTACTACGGGCCACTATAGTGGCCCTCCATAAGATGCCACTGAGGTACTACGGGCCACTATAGTGGCCCTCCATAAGATGCCACTGAGGTACTACGGGCCACTATAGTGGCCCTCCATAAGATGCCACTGAGGTACTACGGGCCACTATAGTGGCCCTCCATAAGATGCCACTGAGGTACTACGGGCCACTATAGTGGCCCTCCATAAGATGCCACTGAGGTACTACGGGCCACTATAGTGGCCCTCCATAAGATGCCACTGAGGTACTACGGGCCACTATAGTGGCCCTCCATAAGATGCCACTGAGGTACTACGGGCCACTATAGTGGCCCTCCATAAGATGCCACTGAGGTACTACGGGCCACTATAGTGGCCCTCCATAAGATGCCACTGAGGTACTACGGGCCACTATAGTGGCCCTCCATAAGATGCCACTGAGGTACTACGGGCCACTATAGTGGCCCTCCATAAGATGCCACTGAGGTACTACGGGCCACTATAGTGGCCCTCCATAAGATGCCACTGAGGTACTACGGGCCACTATAGTGGCCCTCCATAAGATGCCACTGAGGTACTACGGGCCACTATAGTGGCCCTCCATAAGATGCCACTGAGGTACTACGGGCCACTATAGTGGCCCTCCATAAGATGCCACTGAAGTACTACGGGCCACTATAGTGGCCCTCCATAAGATGCACTATATTGCATAATGTTATTTCCTCTCATACTGTAAATTAAAGAGCGCATGCTAAGACGTTATAAATACCCTGGAATACCCTTTATTTATAAATACCCTTTGGAGAGAAATTTTTTCGTACGAAAACATTCAAGCAGCTTGGGTTCTCCGCCGCGGTACTCCCGCTGACGATCGGCGTCGCGTAGCGTGCAGTGATGTCGCGGCGCTCCGTTCAGCGGAAGTACCGCGGCGGAGAACCCGCCCGTAGCGAAAGGGTTAAAATAACAGGCATATATTTCTACAGATTTTTCGCGATTTTAATCGTAATACATCCCCGGCGGAACAAGTTTTATAGAATAAATTGCCAATAGATATATCTTGGGTTGCGTGTCGATGATCGTGGGTTGCAAGAATTTGGCGCCAAAACGACGCGTTCCGTAAACCTGCTGTTAATAGTAGAATAATGAAACGATAACAGCATTTTAACGGATATTACCTAGACCGAAGCAGGCGCCTCTTTCAAACGTGCAAATTTGCATAAAAATTGTTCGAACGTCTCTCGGATAACGTTGCTGAGAAATCGTTGACGGTGGTCTCATCAGCATCTCTACCACGTCCGTAATTTTGTGCCATTCGTGTACCTTCGCAGTGAATTTCGATTGTGCATGTTTAACTTGAAACTTCTCGTTTAACATGATCGCATTGTGCAGCACTTACGACGTCCAACAGCGTAGTCGTAATGATACTAGAACGATCCTGGTCGACTTGTTCAGCGAGTAATCTTGATCGTTCCGTCATGCGTAATAGTTCCAAAGTCGAGGTATGCTCTCCGCCGTTGGTGCCTGTCTTTGAATCTAATTTGTATTTGTCGAGGATTTTTCCTTTCGACGATTCGGACTGTTCCAGCATCATAGACGCCTTGGGGTCGTACAATTCGTAAAATACGTTTCCATCGGGCATGAATTGCTCGCGCACAGTCATATGCTCTATAAGACGACATTCACCCTCCAGTACAAAATGGACGTAATTAACCATTCCTTTGCCGTCACCTAATAAGACCTGAAACAGTCGGGTTTTTTTTTAAACATTTTCAGGACCACTGCAACTGTATGTAGTCGATTGAATTATTTGCTCAGATTTGAAAATGAATCGTTATTAAATTTTTCTAATTTTATCAGGTTTCTCGAAACATGAGAGCCTTGACCACGTAATCAACGTCATATACAACTAACTTTTTAATTAATTTGACTAAAAGGAACACTTCAATTTTATGAAATTCTTGAGATCGTTGGCGCGGCAGGCAAGGTGTTAATTTGATTAATTTCTTAACGCTTGAACGGTGGATCTCGGGTAAATTTAGGTCCAAATTATAGCTATTGTCATTTGCAGACTGCGAATTTTTATGCATCTGTTGTATTTTCAAATTGAGTTTGTTGCACATTTTCTGATTTTTGTAAAACAATCTTTGAAAATTGAAATTTGCATAACGATTCGCAGTATAATTGTGCGATTATCTTGTCTCTGATATAATTAATTGAATTTCTCACGTGTTTCATTAGGATCTATATAGGAACCAACATATCTGGAACCTTATGAAATATGATAACGAGAATTGATAAATATATAATGATAACTTAAAGTTGAAGATATTCAAGTCAGTCGCTTTAATTTTGCACCTTAGCTTATCAAATATATGAAGCGTACGCAATATTATTGTTAACGGCTTGGTTAATGGAAAAGAAATTTGAACGAGTTGAAATAATTAAAATAATTGATCTGCAATTTCTTTGAAACATTATATGCGAATTTTCTCACTTATTGTGTATTACTATTCGGTGGATTGATTTTCGTAATGATTTTCAATGTCGGTAGAAACTCGATGATAACAGCTATCTCAGAACAACGATCTACTATTGATATTTATTACGCAAGCAATACAGAATATTGAAAATTTCTCACCTCGTCAGGCCGGAAGTCTTTCATTCTGCTTAAAATACAGCATTCTCGCACGGTGACCCGGTCCCATGTTTCAAAGTAATTAAAGTGGACCAAGGCATCTTGCAAAACGTCCCATTCGCTCGTTAAATGACGTCGGAGGATCGTATTGAAGCTTGCTTCGGGTATGAGGAACAGATCTACCGTAGCTGTTAATAAAATTTTTTAAAGTTACTAGTAATAACTGGACTGCAGATTTTATGCGTCTTTATGACAGAACTATAACAGGCGAAACACAAAACTGTGATGCCGTTAGAGTAAGTTAGGAACATTGTTATACTATTTTCGACTTATTCAAATGATTAAATAGCAACATACATATTTATTTAATTCGAGCTTCTTACAAGTAATTTAGGCAACTTTTATCTTCCATAAATGTCCAATTAATAGCATTACTGTTAACGGTAATATCACTATTTTTCTCTACATAATATACATAATTATAATACACATACATATAATATTATGATATATATATATATATATACAAGTAATTTAGACAACTTTTATCTTCCATAAATGTCCAATTGATAGCACTACTGTTAACGGTGATATCACTACTTTTCTCTACATAATATACATAATTATAATACACATACATATAATATTATGATATATATATATATATATACAAGTAATTTAGACAACTTTTATCTTCCATAAATGTCCAATTGATAGCACTACTGTTAACGGTGATATCACTACTTTTCTCTACATAATATACATAATTATAATACACATACATATAATATTATGATATATATATATATATATAATTATAGTGATATTATAGTTAACAGTAATGCTATTAATTGGACATTTATGGAAGATAAAAGTTATCTAAATTACTTGTAAGTAATACAAGATATAATATATATATATATATAATTATATACATGATTATAATG